TACTGCCTCTCAAATATCAGTAAGGCACAGGGGGGTCAGCTTTTAGGGACCCCACACACTGAGTTGCAGGCCACTAATGACATTGCTTTGGACAACTAATTAAGCAGCAGCCCTCCAGCAACTGAGACACGAGCTGCTTCCCCACAAAGGTCTATAGAGGCACACACCCATCTGGATCTCCCGGCTGGGCAGCTATACCAGCTTTACTTTGGAAAACATTTTCTGCTGTGTCATCAAACTAAACAGTCAATACTATTTTTTATTTATGTAAAACAGTAAAGGAAAGTTAGGGTAAAGTACCAATGAAACCAGTAACACACACATACACTTCACCCACCAGTTTTATTCACAGAGGCTCACCCTTAGGTACCACACACATTTTTATGCATGGAAAGGTATTCTAATCATAAATACTGGCGGCCAGAGTAAAACGGAAAGCAGTTTTAGTGGTTAGTTGAGTAGAGATACACCCATACACAATTTTACTTCATGGCTCCTTTGTATTTACCAATCAGGGATCATTTGCTTGCAAGGAGATAACCTCATTCAAACTAACTGAAGTGAAAAGGAGACCTTATTTGTTAATCCCATTATCTTCTCCTTGATGATCTGTTTATTTCACCTACAACTTGTGAGGCCAGGGTCTGTTTGATCTTGGCAGGTGGGCTGGCTTTTCTCCCTTTGCCTCCACTCCCCAGGTTCATTTTCTACCCATCATGCTCTGTTCTGTGCTCCAGGAGACCCCTTGGCTATTTCCGGTTGGGTTCAGCCAATGAGAGATATTATCATGAGATGGGAAGGTGAGAGGAGAGCAAGGCCAGAGTATGTCCTCCTCACTCCCTCCCCAGCCTTAGCTCCTATAAGCTCTTCATTGAAATAATTTCATTTGAACCATCTCAGTTAAATTCTGTTTCCTGCCTAATGCAGTAGAACCTCCCAATGTCCTACCTTTGATCTCTCCAGTCTTTCTTCAACCATCATTTTTTTCTAGTTATGCATAGGCAAATTCAGGCTAACAGACATTCTCTTTGCAAACTTATTCTTGCTCTTCCTAACTTGGTTATGTTAACTTTCTGGTATCTAATTATTATCAGCAATTGCCACCTATCTTTCATTCACTTGGAAAATAGCATTTCTGTTTTTAAAAACAATATAGATATTTACTCATCTTATTCAGTTTGTTTACCTCAGTCAAGGCTGCATTTTGGGTTGTGTGGTGTCCTCAAGACTCCAAGCACCACAAGGTCACACTCAGAGTACTTTTTGCTCAGTACTGTCTCCACACCAAGCACAGTGCATGGCACATGGGGACAGCTAATAAATATGTGTTGAGAACAAGGAGAAAAATGAGGAGGAGGGCAAGGAATTTGTGTGTGCCCCTCGGTTTCATCTGTCCTAGAAAAATTTACAAGGTATAAAAATACTACTGGTAAGAGATAATATTTATTGAGCAACTACTGTATTCTAGGGCTGCAATTTATTATATTACCTCATTCAATCCTTGTAACAACCCTATGAGCTAAGTACTATCACTCTCTCCATTTAAGGGATAAAGAAACTGGGCTCCAAGAGGTTAGGAACTTGTTCTAGGTCACCAACCCAGTATGTGGCAAAACCAGGTTTGATAGTCTACAAAGTCTGGACTCGTCACTAAAGCTGATTCCGCCCACGTGCATGGCCCTGGGATTCCCCCTGGAGCCTATAATATACCTCTCCTCCAAGTGCATGGTCCAAACTTTAGAATTGGAAAGTGTCCTCTCTGACTTCCACTGAGTCTTCTCTTCTACAAGTTAGACGTCCCCAGACCCCCAGGTGTCCCTCACATGGTGTGGTTTACAGACCTCTCAATTTTTTCTAGGGTAGATTAGCCCCAAAATTCTTGTTTAGGGCTCTCCCCCACTCCTTTCCTCTGCATTGAGCTCTTCTAGTATCTACAACCTTTCAATTAGACTTAGAACTGATCACACTAAAGAGGCACGGAACTGTAGCCCTGGAACATCCTAAGTGGGACAGATGCACCTTCAGACTGACTGTCACATCAGGTCACTGTACGATTTACAAGAGGGGTGGGTGTGTGTGTGTGTGTGTGTGTGTGTGTGTGTGTGTGTGCAGGTGCTAAAGGAAGAGTAAGCAGGACCTGTCTTCAGGAAGCTGTTTAAAGCAAAGTTTTTCTTGATCGGGGCAGCTTAGCGAGCCTGCGATCCCAGCATGTGTTCATCCTTAACAAACAGGAACGTTTTCTAGATAAGTGAAAACAAGCACGTTTCCAAGCCCGTGACCCTCCATGTACATCTGTTTTCTCCCCTTGTGTGAAGGCTAAAGACACTTCCCATGCCCTGAAATGAAGGACTTTGCTGGAGTGAAATTTGAAGTTATCTTCTCGCCCAGAGAATAGCTCTCTGGCTACAGAACTGCTTGTTTGAGAAGTTCTTTCTACTTGAGTTATTGGACTAGACCAGGAATTCCTAGATTTGGGGGAGGGGGGGGGGATTCCTTGGCTGTCTGGTGAAGCCTGTAAAGTTCACCTGAGAACTGTGTTTATAAATGAAAAACCTAATTACATAAGAAATCAGAAGGAATCAATTATATTGAAATGCAGTTATAAAAATATTTTTAAATTGTGATAGAATAACTATGTGCTTCTTTATTAGTACATTAAATATTAAAACATATATCTATCATAATCTGAAAGTAGCAATGAGCACAACTGATCTTCTAAGATCTCTACGATGGCCCTAATATGATAGAAAAATGATTGCTATCAGTGACAAAGTTATCACCTACAGTCCTGAACAAACAGATGTTTGTTAAGCATTTCGTGAAAGAAATGCTTACGTTCCATCAGAGGTTAGTGAAAATAACGATGTCATACTTTCTCAACAAATTCACAGACCCCCTGATTGCACAGACCCCAGGATAGTCCCAGTTAGGGAACTGGAACATTGGAATCCTAATGAGAGAGACTGTGGAAGAGACCAACTCACTTTGCAGATGAGCAATGGTGGCTTTTGAAGGGTTGAGATCTTCAATATTGAGATGGATCTTGCAAGTTCTTTAATTTAGTTTTTTTTTTTTTTTTTTTTACTTATTGAGAAGTCAGTGGGAAAGGTAAGAGTGAAAATTTAGGGACAGGTGTCTGCTTGGCGTGTGTTTTAAAATTTCATCATTTATAAACTGAATGAGCAGAAAAGAAAAAGAAGGTCAAGTCTGCAAAGACCCTCAATCCTGGATCCCCTGTCTAGAGCTTAAATGCTGCCAAGTCTCCTCAACCCATACACACAAGTCCAGAAAAATCTCTCTCACCTTCCCCTAAAGGGACATCCCCAAGCATTCAAAAAGGCACTTTTTTTTTTGCTTTCAGCTGATAATGAGGGTGCTAAGATAGGTGCATTTATACTTCAGTAGATTATCCTATATAATAAAAAGTAATATGCAAATTGACCCTCACTCAGTCATGCCATCACAAGATGGTTGCACCCACATGGAGGTGGGAGGTGGAGTTCCTGTAACGAGCGATCAGTAGAGACCTGAGGCTGCGTGGCCCCGGGCCAGGGCAGGGACCTGAGGCCATGCCCCCTGCCCGGTGGGGCTTGACAGGGGACCTCAAAGCACCTCCCCCAACCCAGCCCAGGCCGGGGGACCTCAGACCGCACCCCCCACCCCAGTGCCAGGACAGGAGACCTCAGGCCATGCCCCCCCACCCAGTGGGGCTTGACGGGGGACCTCAGGCTGTGCCCCCCACGCTGGTGCTGGGTCTGGGGACCTGAGGCCATGCCCTCTGCCACAGCACCAGGCCAGGGGACCTGAGGCTGCACCCCCCACTTGGCACTGTGCCAGGGGACCTGAGCTCGTGCCCAGCAGGGCTTGACAGGGGTGGGGCCAGCCAGGTCTGGATCTCGCCCAGTGGGGGTGGGGCCAGCTGGGTCTGGGTCTTGCGCAATTTCAAGGTGTGTACGGGTGAGTGGGGACTTGACTCTGGGTCCCATGGTATGTCCCAGACTCTCACAGGAGGAAGATTTTCATATACATTTTACTAATTTTCTTTCAACTCTGATATTTCTATTATAGAGAAAGGGCAAATAGCAACATTAAAATATTTCCTCTAATTAATTCCCTTTTAATGTGCACAAATTTTGTGCACCAGGCCACTATTTTGAAATAAAGTAGCACACTCCTCAAGGGAAAATTTTCTACAGACCCCTTGACTTATCTAGTCCCAACCATCCCTGGAGTCACGCATGCTCCTGACAGACAGACATCCAGTAGATGTCACTGGATACCACCTTCCCAGCTTTACACAGCCAACTACCTCAGACCTTCTCCTGCCCTGTAGCCCTATTAGGTCACTGAAGCCCCCAAAAAAGCAGAAAAATCAAATTGTTTCTACCTGTCTTCCCAAGGAAGACAATAGAATATCTGAAGATCTGAAAGTCTTTTACATCACTTCAGATCTAGAAGTTACCATGGAGATGATCTATCAGAAGCACTAATGGTGATTTGGGCAGGACAATTCCTTGTGCAGACACCTGAGCCCATTACACTAAATGCCATAAGTGCCTACCCCATGTCTCTGTGACAGTCACAAGTAGCTCCCCAAATTTACAAATGCCCCCTAGGGGTAGTCATACAGCCCCTGTTTGTGGTTGAGAAACCCTGGATAAAAGCACAGAGAGATTAATGAGTTCTCCTAGACATGGGGATAGCCAACTTAGTGATTTTTTGTTGTAGCCCCACTTAGTTCCAAAAATGATTTGAATGTGTTGAATGACTTGTTTTTATTTGGGCATAATTCTTCTTATTTCCATTTTACACATGAGGGAATGGACCAGTGTCACACAGCTAGAAAGTAGAGGAGATCAGAACTTAAGTGTTTAGCACAAGTCCCACCATGTTACCCCCTCTGCCACTCAGTAATGTCTTCTGGGCATTGGGCAATTGTGGGTACCACATGTAAGGCCCTGGTACTGCTCTGGTACTGACAGATGTCATCATCCTTACAGGTACTGCAAGGAGCAGCCACATGTTTCTATGCTTTCATTGGTTTTGACATCATCGCCACCACCGGAGAGGAAGCCAAAAATCCCAACACGTCCATCCCTTATGCTATCACCGCCTCCCTGGTCATCTGCCTGACAGCATATGTATCTGTAAGTACCAAGACTTATGGGACCCTCCTCATGGCCTTTTCATATTTGACCCTAAAATGTGGCTCTGGGACTGGGTCCCCTTCTGTCAGGAAGTGATCCTTTCCTTGTGCCCTTGGTGTTTGTACACGCGTACATGCTCCCTATATCTTCACCCACCGATGACAAGATGAAAATCAGGACTCCAAACTGGAGATGGAAGAAGCCCAGGCCCTCCTTTAAGTCACTGCCTCTGAGTCACCATCCCCAACTGCCCTACACACAGGCTCCTGGTGTCCACTGCTGCCCGGGGATGGTGTGCCGGGAGTGGGCCGCCGTCCAAGGATCTCAGATCATAGGCTGGCAGTAACGGGTGGGTGTGCAAGCAGAGACTTTGTGGGCCTCTGTGCACCCTCCTCAATGCTCTTCTGTCTTCTGGGAGCTTCCCGGCAGTGAAGAGGCGAGGCGAGGCAAGGCGAGGCTCCCCCAGAGTCAAGAGACAGAGTACAACGTCCTCTGAAGATGCTCTTCCCTTAAATACCGGGGGTGCAATTTCTTTCTGCTGTTGTTTATTTTTAGAAGAGCTTAAGCTTGCCTCTTAGGGTTTCCCCGTCAAGGGTTGTCCTCATAATAAAGCTTTCAGACTTGTGTCCTCAGGATCACCCCCTAGGATGCTCCTCACACTTTTGATGTGTCATCTCCCAGCTCCCACCCTAGAATTTCTACCACAGAGATAGTTCAGCCACATCCAAGATCACCCTCACCCCCTGGCAATGGAGAGAACCAGCTGACAAGCCAACAGGTGTGTGTTTACACAAATACTCCAGGCCCTGAGAGTCCCACTCCAGTCAGCAGCTGGGGTGCACACTATAAACCCCGTGGCTCCTGCTGCCACAGCATGGGAAAAGCACCTCCTTCCCCTCCCCCCAGAAAAAAAATATTTTTAAAAAATATGTTTTTATTGATCTTTTAGAGTGAGAGGAAGGGAGAGAAAGAGAAACATCAATGAAAGAGAAACACTGATAGACTATCCTCCTATTCCCAGTGTGCCTGCAACCCGGGCACACAGGGATTCAAACCGGTGAACTCTTGGTGAATGAGACAACTCTCAATCCACTGAACCACACTGGCCAGGCACAAAATAAAACCATCTTTAGCAACCACCTAAAGAAGCCAACCAATGGATCATTAAGGCAAGCTGCAAAACAGGATTGTCCTGGAAACCAAAGGAAAGCACAAGAGCAGCTTTGGATGTGGTTGGTAGAAATTCAGTTGCCCAGCCAAACATTTATGGGTAGGTCATTTATCACCTCCCACCATGCACACATATTACAAGTGGTTTGCTCTTATCTATATCCTGATTATCCCCGCAGAGTGTTCAGGGAGGTGTGGTGTGGGGGGAGCAGCAGAGATACTCTGCTATGCATTTCCTCTCCTATTCCTCCCTTGTACCTCCCCCTCCTCCAGGGGTCGACCCTTGCAGCACACGTACAATAAGGTTCATAATAACTGCTCCTTCTTTAGAATGGCACTTCATAGACTACAGAGCACTTTCAGGCATCTACCAACTCTTTGCCTAGCCTGCTCAAATGAGGCTAGGAGACACAACAGAAATTGCTGTAAGATCAATCCCACTCTGCTCCAGCCCACCCCACCCCACCCCCAAAAGGGACATTGCAAGTGGTGAGTGGCTGCTGAGAAATATTTGTTCAGAATGCATGGGCCTTAGCCATGCCTCAGGAGTTGTTTGTTCCTGTGCTGGTCAGCAGTCTGCCATTCCACCACCAGAAGAGCTGAATTGCTGGGCTGTGGTAACCCATCCTACTGTCCACTCTCAGCCCATGGCTTCACTGGAGGTTCTCGATTCCTGAGGAATAGGCAAAGAAGTGATCTAGAAATGCATCGCTCTCTCCCTTTCAGGCTCTGAACTCCTTTCCTGATGCCAGCATTGGCCTTTGCAGGCCAAAGGGGAGCCTGGCCAAATGACTGGTGGCTCCATTGCCTGAGGCCAATTCTGAAGGGAAGGATATTATGGCAGATCTATAATGTATATAATAAAAGGCTAATATACAAATTGTCCCCTCGACTGGGAGTTCAATCGAGAGTTCAACCAGGAGTTCGACCAGGGGTGGGGCCGGCAGGACAACTGCCTGCAATCCCTCCCCCTGGCCATCACCACCCCTGATCGCCCCCCTCCCCATCAGGGGCAGGGCTGGCCCACCAACAGCCTGCTGCCCCTCCCCCCAGCCGCCCGACCCAATTGGCCCAATCAGGGTGGGCTGGCCTGACCCCACCCGTGCACGAATTTGTGCACTGGGCCTCTAGTAATGTATGAAGGGAGATAGGTCCTAGTTTAGTGATTCCTGACTAAGCAAAGCCATGGTGGTCTTATGGCCCAGAGTAGGACTGGATTCCACCCTGAAGCCATAATTTGTTTGTTGGCCTGCCTGGCTCCTGGGACTGAGCCACAGAGAAGAAATGGAAAATGAGTCCTCATCTGAGCCTCATCAGTTTATTGGCTATGGCTCTCCTACACAACTATCTTTGGAGTTCTGATCTCTGGTCTTTGGGGTGACAGGGAGTACTGTTAAGACCTTGTAGGACCCTGAAAGTTGAAAAGAAATGAGAGTCATGTCCATGTGGGCAGGGTTCTCATGGTCACTGCCAGGCCCTGGCTCCAATGCCTGTGGCTGCAGCTCCTCCCACCTGGGAATTGCCCTTCATTGAACTGTCAGTACTTTCATGGGACTGAAATACCTGCAGACTTATTCCTCAGATATGAAAGGCCCATTGAAAGATATTAGAGGTTATCTGGTCTAGTCCACTAAGTCCATGTGTGGGGAGAAAATAGAGACTGAGAACTCCAGAGGCCAAATGTTTATAAGGGAAGTTATGTGCCAAGAAGTGGCAGGTCCAAACTTCCATGCAGCCCTCTGACTCTGAGTCCTCTGACTTTCTCTCCTGTGGGTCATTCATCCATGCTGTCAGTCCCCTCTACCTCCAGCCATGTTTTCTCTTGTTTCAACAGGTGAGCATGATCTTAACTCTGATGGTGCCATATTATGCCATTGACACGGAATCCCCGCTCATGGAGATGTTTGTGGTTCATGGGTTCTATGCTGCAAAATTCATTGTGGCCATTGGGTCAGTTGCAGGACTGACGGTCAGCTTGCTGGGCTCCCTCTTCCCAATGCCGAGGGTCATTTATGCCATGGCTGGCGATGGGCTCCTTTTCAGGTAAGGTTTGTGCTCTGTGGAATTAATTCTGTTCTGTCAGGCCTGTACAGGGAGAATGTCACCCGCTGTCAGCCTGCCTGCAACTTTGATCTGAGTGCCTGTCACACAGACTGTGGAACTTGTCACATCCTGGCAAAGAGTTTGAGTTGAAAGAGCTTATGCCCTGAAACAGCTCCTCTATTTGACTCTGGGTCCCCCAATCCAGCACAAACTGCTCTGTTCCTCTGTCTGCCCCTCTCCTGTTTGACATTGTATATTCCTTTGTAAAGATGGTGAGTGCCAAACTGTGACACTGGGTGGCCGCCAGAAGGGAGAACCCATCCTGTTACCTCTTAGGCCTGCCCTCGTCTTGAGGCCTGGTACCTGGCCCTGTCCGCACAGCCCCTCTGAAGTTGAAAAAGTTTAAAGTTTTCATCAAAGAGAGAATAATGCCCTATGCACTGAACCTAATAATAGTAACAACAGTAACTACCATTCATTGAATATTGGTGCATCCCAGGTGCTTTGTATACAGTATGCTTTTAAGTCATCACAATAACTCTGTCTTTCAGATGAGTGAACTAGATAAGTATTCTCAGAGAGGCAAAAACCCTTGCCTCAAGTCCCCCAGCTTCTGAGTGGGGGGACAGGATTTTTTTATTATTATTTATTTATTTTTAATTAAATCTTTATTATTCAGATTATTACAGGTTCCTCTTTTTTTTCCCCCCATAACTCCCCTCCTCTCAG